TCGTGGAGTAAGAAAAGGATCAACATGAACATGGATTTGCTTGCTATTCAAATACAATTCAAGAGCGTAATATAAGTCTCTGCTGCTCTGCAATTTTCCACCCTGTGAATGGAGAGTTCTGCAGGGCTCTTCGGAGAATGCCACCACAAGGAAGGTTAATAGAAAGCTCTTGCTGCAAAAAGGAGGCCACCTAACTTTAGCTAACAGGCGATCTGTGTTGCACTAATTTGTTGTTATCCACCAAACCTTGAAATGATTGAATCAGCTCACCAATCTTCCAAGCTCGCGCTTCATCTCGCTGTTCTCTTTCTCTATGTTATCGGGTACCTTTTCGGCGGATGCTGTGACCCATCTCCAGTTCTTCTTGTAGAGATATTTTGAAGCTGGTACTTCAAGTATGATGATCTCGAAGGAACATTATCATCCACTAAAAATTATATTTATAGATATATATATGTGATTTTCCAAGAATAAATCTTCATTTTGGGTTTATCTAAAATAGTATCTTCTTTAATCTTTTCGAACAACATTCATAATTCATTAAACTCATTTTATAGAATTTTTTATAATATATATAATATTTTAATTGAGATATTAAAAATATTATTGAAAAACATCATTAGCGACATTATATTATTATGTCTCTTTAGTCGTCATTGTTAGCTTGTAACTGATTTGATTAAGATTAGAAGTTTATTTTTGATTATTTATAATATTTTTTAATTAGATTTATGGTTTTTTATTATGATAACCAAAATAATATAATAGTTATTTTTTTATTCTTAAACTATTATAAATATTATTTAAATCTTAGTATAATATATCAAAGGGTTTGTGGTGTGTTTTATTCTATTTAATTCATTTATAGTGTTTTGAAGTAAACTTTATAATGTTTTATTACGGTGATAACAATATTATAAACGGTTAAATCATTATGACGAGAAAAAGTACTATCAACTTTTTAAGAGATTATTGGGATATTTTATGAATTAGAGGGTACTTATTAGGGTTTATGAAAAAGTCAAAAGAAAAAATTATATATATCATCGCTGGTTTTTTTATTACATATTTTTTTCCACCGTGGTGCGATTGACTCACTTATTGTGTTAAATAATCATTAATCCTTAATACCTCCAACTCAAATTAATTATAAATTACATAAATAAAAGCTGAGTCCATTGCTTTTAAGTTAAACTAATTATATATTACATTTATATTTGGATCATGATATTTATACTTAAAAATTCAGATCTTTATATTTTTGAAAATAAAATAAATTACTTCATTTATCCTAATACTATCATATGTATTAACGAAAAATATGACACAATGTGCTAAATCGATACGAAAGTAATAGAAAAATAATAATTTTAACATCACACATCAAATGTTGAAATTACCGTTTTATTGATAAAATTACGAGAAACGTAAGGGATATTAAAATTATTTTTTTGTCTATCATTTTTATACCAATACGACACATGTTAATTTAACTTATAGGACAAATAAGATTATTTATTTGATTTTTAAAATCATAGAGATCCAAATATAAAATTTTTAAGTATATCGAGTAATATGTAATTAACCCTATTAAGTTCATCCAGGTATTGTATTAATTATCTCATTAAACAGGTCGTAATATCGTAAAATAAAATAAAGTTATAGTGAGTCAAGAATAATATAGTGGACTAAACCATTAAATCATTTTTTTATTAGAATATTATTACATCACAAGTGTAAGAACTCCTCGAGCTGGCTTGAGTGAGCCCAAACTTGCAATCGGGTCATGTCAGTTGGGGTTGGGCTAGTCATGGCTCGATCGAATCGACTTGGGCAGTTCGATGTCGGATTGGCCCTCCAAATCCTCTGAAGAACACGGGAGACATGGATGAATGGCTCTCCTTGACCATCACCCAATCAGCTCTCTGTCCTCTCCCACCAATCTTCTCTGCCATCGGCCTCTCTCATCGCCTGGCCCTCCTTCCTCTCCACCGTTCTTGAACCTTGAGGATGTCGGCGGTGCACTCTGTCGCTGTTTCTTCTTCGGCCATCTCCAGATGCCCCAAGAACCATCACTCTCTCCCAGGTCTCTCGCTCTCCGTGTGTGGATCTGTTTTGATAACAGCAACTCGTTCTTGAATGTTGACAAAGTTGATCGAAATCTGCGTTTTCCGTCTTGAGAAGTGGCGATTTATGAATCAGTTTTCCCTGTTGGTTTTATTGCGTGTGTGCTTTAGGAGTGCAGAGAGAAAAATTGGTAGAATTATGTAGAATGCTCAGAAAATGGCCGGTCTTGGCAATCAGAAAGTGGTAGGAGAATGAAGTGTGTGTCGAAATTCTGTTTCTTGTAGACTACAATCACTAACAGTTGGTTTTGATTTCTAGATTGAACTTTGTACTATAGATGTGGCTTTGCTGTCATCCCACTCTTCCTTTTCATATAGCTCTGATTAGCTTATCAAATATGAACCTGTGATGTTTTGAAAGGATGCTTTTCAAGTGATTATAGCAAATTTTCAAGTGGTTTGTCATACAAGGACTTGGAAAATTTTCAAGTGACTATAACAAAAACTATAGATTCTATTTTGTAGATACAAAACAAATTTGTTCTTGCGACTTATATAGTAGCTTGAACATTTGTTAAGATGGTGTCCTTAAATTTCTTGGCCTTCACCTTAGTATGCATGGGAAGCACCTGCGCTTAATTGAATAAATTTGGTAAGGGTACTATTGGCTAAATAGACATGGTAACATTTGTTAGAACTTTTCTTAGAGTTCAAATCTTACACTCCACTTTGAATGCTAGTTACGACTTTTGGATGTCAAACTTTCAAGTGCCAATGAAGAGTGCCATAATCTCCCTCTAGTATAATTGTAACTACTCTAGTTGTGTTACTGTGCAAATTTTTTACTGCATCTAAAGCATCATAAATGATGAGAAAATGGATTTTGTGCATCAAACACTTTGTAGTTTCGTAATTGTTATTTTCTGCATTCATCTGTTGATAAACTTAAGTTAACTCAACATTCGAAATATTGGAGTCGTTGTGTCATTAGCTTAGGATTTACCTCTTGACCATAGGCTTTATTTTGTGGAGCAGTATGTGCTAGTGAGGCTGATGGAAATCTTATAAGAATTTGGGACCCCAAGGAGACTAGGGCATTTGTTGCTTGGAACATGTTTGGATTTATTTTTATACTAGACCATCCAAAAAGTTGTTGCTTAATGGGAAGCTTAATCTGACGGGTCCAAATTGTGAACAGAAGCTTAGATACAGTATACCATCATTTGCAATCTCCATTTATATGTATCTGATGGCACTAGATCTGGAGGTCTTTGGAAAGTCCAATACACTTTCTTTCTTTGATCAGACATGCTAAAATAAATTCCTTTTGACATCTGTTAAAAGCAATTCCGATTTTAGCAGTCTTAAATCTGCAAGACTTGAATCAAAACTCTTAATATCCTGTTGTCGTCCAATTAACCTCACCATGAAACGTTGGCCCATAAATATAAATTCTTATTGGTCAGGTTATCGATGTCGAATCTTGATGATAAATTCCAACCCTGGTGTCCTGTACGCATTTCTATGAACAATTTTTCTTGGTTAGAAGCAAGAACAGCATATCTATTTCTTCATGCCAGGACGGTCCAATTTTGGCACAATTATTTATAAATGCACATCTTGTTAGATTTCTTGAGCATAACTGTGGAGTACCATCAACCATTCCAAAGAAATTTTACAAGAAATTTCAAGGAAACTCAGGGAGAAACCGAAGGGAAATTCAAATAAAGGAGGTTTTTATGATCAAAACAGATTGACAGCTCATTGATACATTAGTTGACTTTTATCACACTTGTTATTGTTGCTGTTTCTTCTATGAATAGTACTGTTCTAGCTGATTTTTAAGCATAAACAATGTTCATGGCGTGCTTGGTTATTGTGTGCTACCATGTCTTTACATTTGATATCCTCCACTTAATCTTAATTCTGAACTTCTCGGTGTTTTACAGCATCAATGTCTCTCCCTACAACTGCTCGCCCAATTTTTCGTTCTGCTTTCAGTGGTGTATCTTTGCATCTTCCTCCTCCAAAAGTGATTCCAAGACGAAATTCGTATGTCTCCAAGGTGACTGTGATGATGGCCAAGCCAGCGATTCAGTTCATCCAAGGAACTGATGAACAGACAGTACCAGATGTGAGACTAACCAAATCGAGAGACGGTACGAATGGTGTCGCAATATTTACCTTCGATCAACCCTCTGTCTTTGACTCATCAGGCGAGCTGGGTGACATCACTGGATTCTACATGATCGATGAGGAAGGTGTGCTTCAGTCGGTTGATGTGAGTGCCAAGTTCATCAATGGAAAGCCTGCAAGAATAGAAGCCAAGTATGTGATGCGGAGTCCGCGAGACTGGGACAGATTCATGAGGTTCATGGAGAGGTACTCTCAAGCAAATGGTTTACAGTTTGTGAAAAAATGAGGTGGCCTCCATCCTCCATTTTTCATAAACCAACTGGTAATATGTCTAATTATATTATTAAAAAATGTAAATTTTTGTTCAATGTTGCTTATATTCAATTGAAAGATGTACCTCAACATATGAGAATGATTAGAAAGTCCATCTCAAATGAAGTTTATTTGAATTTTCCTGTGTTTAACACATATCGACCAGCAGTCAGGTAGATACCGATGGTGTTCCACAAGTGATCATTGTGACTACCTCTACTATTCTGCTTTCTTTGTCTCTTCATCAAAGCCTCTTCCTCTTGTCATAGTATTAGGCTACTTCAGGACATCGAGATTTGCAAAGTTCACAAGTTCATTGATTGTGTTTGACAAGATTACGGGCAAATCGAATCCAACATGAGGAACTTGAACACACTTGAAAGCTCGATCATGTTGGCCTAAGATGATGTTAATGCAATTTTCTTTATTTCTAATAATTTTATAATTATATTTCTAATAAAACAACAGCAACAACATGTGGAGAACTCAAAGCTCGAAGGCCTCTTCTTCCATCTCCAAAACTCCTGCAGCGGCTTCCTCCTCCTCGTCCCCAACAAAAAGGTAGGGGTTCTTCTCCACCGGCCGGAAATTGTGGAAGACGAAGACGTAGAAGGCGAAGCTTGCGCCCTCCATGGCTGCGTAAGCACACCAGTGGTATCTGTAATTAAGCAGCCTTCCAGATGCAGGGACTATGATTCTTGTGAAGTATAGATAGCTCACGACCACCAGATAGAACTGTTTGAAGAGGTTGAGCTTCTCCAGGTTCCTCGCCGCCTTGCCGTCGGTCTTGGAAGCCTCTCGGAGGCTCCTAATGGACCATATGATGGGGAAGAAGACGGCGCAGCAGCAGATGATGTCCACCAACAGGAAGATTTGGTTCCACGTCAGCCAATCCTTCTTCGTCGGCCCGGTCTCGCCGATCACGACCGAAGCGATGTTCTCGATGACTTGCATCGGGATCACGATCTTTAGAACATTCTTCTCTCGCTCCTGCATCGCCAAACCATAAGATCGTTGCTGTTGCTTCATCCGTTCCAATCTTTGTAAGCATGTATAGGATGCGTGTACGGCGACAGACCTGCAAGTATGGCTTCAAGAAGGACCACCCGGTGCCGATGAGGACGATCACCGTGAAAAGCAACACCCCCTTGAAGAACCCAAACACGTAGAAGGCGACGTCCCAGCCATGCGGCGTCCCCGTCTTCTTCACGTACCACAAGTCCTCGGCGGCGCAAAGCAGCTTGAGACCCTTGAACAGTAGCAACGCCCCCATCGCGACGTGGATCTTGTCCACCGTTGCCCGCTCCTTGATGCAGACGACAGCCCATGCCAATAGGAACACCAGGTAGACCACGGAGAACGTGAAGTACATCTTCGGCAGTGGCTTTCTCCCCGCCGGTAGGTAGTCCTTGGTGCTGCCGTCCATGTTGTACATCTCGGTGCGCACGTCCATGGTGGTCTCGACGCCGGCGTTGCAACTGCCGAACAGGAGGCTGTACTCGTCGGGATTCTCGATGTCGACCGACTGGCTGAGGCTGGCGTTGGTCCCGAGGTCCTTGAACCTGAGAACGGACGTCACGAAGTGGCTGGAGATGGGGCAGTAGCGGACGGCGTGCTCCGACTCGTTGGCGAGAAGGGGGAAGTGCGTAACGGGGACGAGGAAGAAGCCCATCGTGGAAAGGTCCACGTTGTAGTCCTTCGCTTGGGGAGGCGGCTTCCACGAGGCGCCATGGACGGAGACGACGGCATGGCCGCCGCGAGAATAGCCAAATTGCTCGAAGAGGATGAGAGGCCTCGAGTCCGACACGATGTGGATGTGCTTGATCTCGGAGAGAGACAAGGGGACGAGGGAGAAGAACAGGAGGCAGTAGACATATGGCTTGAAGGAACGGAGAGGTCCCATGAAGAATGAAGTGAAACAAAAATTGAGGCTGCAAATAAACCGGACTTGGAATTTGTGATCTGTTCTGCGGAGGAGGAAGGAGGGAGGACGACGAGATGGAGCAAACGGGCTCGCCATGCACGGCGTGTTTTGTGGGATGGATTTGACTGTTTCGCATGGCTAACACAGTTGCAACACAAATAAACAACGTAAGGTAAATTGGTTTGAATTTAATTTTATAAGATGTTAGGTTCCATCGAGCTAATTTCATATTATCTCGGTAGTAAGACCTTTTTAAATCTTAATTTTTAAAAATTATATTAAAATTTTTATAATTATAAAAATAAAATATTTAATTTTACTTATCATAACGTCATTAATTTTATTGACAGAAAATTCATGATAACACATGAATGAATAGTATGAAAATGATAAGAAAAAAATAATTTCAACGATGACATCATAAGTAAAGGTTGTGATGATGGTTGATGACAACGCCGCGATGATTGACCTTATCGATGTCGATACGAACATCGACAACAAGAAGGAAAAGGAGGCAATGCAATAACATATCTACATCAATAACATATCGACGTCACAATACTTTATATCTGTATGAACACGAGAAAGATGAGACATTTGCATCATTGATAATAAGGAGAGAGGAGAAAAAAGCGATAGGTGAGATAAAATAATATGTATCTTCCGTCGATAAAATCAATAACACTAAAATAAATAAGATTAAATATTTTATTTATAAAATTTTTAAATTTAAAGATTAAAATACTAAAGATGTCTAACCATGTAAGATAATATGATCAAATTAAACTTATTGGCTAAGATTTGGAAATAAATGTTGTATTCATAGGATCACACGAAGATAAGGAGAGGATAAGAGAGAACAGATTAAAGAACAAATGATCTGAAAATAAGGTGTATAAATCCAAGAGAAGAATGCACCCCCAAATACTTGAAGAGATATACAACCTTTTACCATCCTCTTCAGGGAAAACCTTCTCCTATTTACATCACCAACACCAGAGTTCAAAGAAGTAAACAGAAGTTAATACCTACACATCCTCCTCCCTGTGACATTATACCATTTCACCCATCTTTCCATTTTATCCCACCTCCAGATTTATTCATTTACATCACCCATATACCCATTACCTTGTCCCAGAACCCCTTGTAGCTTTACTTTCACCACCAGTATACCACCACCACCACCACCACCACCTCAAATGAGAAGAGCAAAGACAGGTACTAAACAAAACATTATTTTTCGTTTGTGGTTTTTTTTTTTCTTCGTCCTCCAAAACTGGTCAATTCGATTACCTTGGCTGTAGTTGCGAAGGGATGGACCTTGTAGGATGCATCGGAGGAGCAGGAGACCGAGCTGAGTAGCACGATGTCTGTGAACGACGTAGCATGTCAACCATCAATGGTGTCTGATAAGCATGGATGAGAGTTTCACTGTAGGTCGAGTCCCCACGCATGGTTGCTCTCTGTGATGAGTGTGAGCTCAGTCCTGACAGCACATAAGCACGCCCTGAAGCTTCGTATCTCTGCCGGCTTGCCATCCTACCTTGCATCTCTCTCAGTTCCGCATCCAGAGCTAAGCAAAGTCGGTCATTTGATTGTGCTGCCAGGGACTCGGAGAGTATCTTTCGACGCTGCTCTAATATTGAAACCGCATCAGAGAGGGCACCTCGCTCCGCAGCAGCCCTTGCATCTGATATTGCCACAGCAGTTTGGATCCGGTTCCTTTCGCGGTCAACCTCAATTGAGGGAGTTTGGAACAAAACAACCTCTGGCCTCTGAATTCTCACTTCTTTAACCTCCAAATGAACAATATCATTTGAGATTGGATCTCTGTAGGCAGAGGCCACCTTAAGGAGTAAGATCTCTTCCATGTGGGGTGGAACATTTACAGAAACCAGGAAATCCCTCTCTTCATCAGCATAAAGGTCACCTACATAGATGAATCCAGTGCGAGCATCACTTGACAACTGATTTCTATAGCTACCTGATTTGATGGGAGCAAGCCGCACACCGGGATGCATACACTCCACATCCAACCACATCTCTTGCACAACCACACTCAGGAGGCCACCAATGCATTGTGCAAAGGCATTCTGAATGAGAACTTCAGATTCAATAAAAGAGAAAGTTCCTCCAGAAACTGTTGCAATTGTGTGCATGGCAGCAGAATCATGGTCCACACCAAAACCAAAGGTATGGACCGGTATTGCTGTGCCACCAAGAATTGAGGACGGAACAAGTGATTTGTAGTTCAGTTCTGAATGCTGTGCTCCACTAGCACTTGAGGAGAAAGTGTAAGTGTCCCGGCCATCCGAGAGAAGGATGATGCTGCACACTGAATTCTTCTCCTTCCGTTCCTCAATCACCTTGATTCCCTTCCTGAGGCCTTCTGCAATGTTTGTTCCACCACTGGACACCAGAGAATTGACAGCCTGCAAAGCCTGCTGTCTACCAGAGTCAGACATCCGACACAGATGGAAGAGTCGGCGTGCAGTTGATGAGAAGGCAATGACTGAAAGGCGATCAGATGGCCCAAGGTTTTGGATCACAAAACTCATAGCACGCTTAAGAAGTGCCAACTTCGTGCCAGCCATGCTGCCGCTGACATCAAGCACGGTGACCAGGTCTATCGGAGCACGAGAGTTTTGTGGCACTGTAGAGCTTGCGATGAGATTCCTGCTAGGACTCGGTTTCATGCTAACATGAGGAGCCTTCAAATGGATCAGGACAGCAAAATCCTCCAGTGATGCTGATTGTTGAATAGCTGAGAATTCAGGATGTGTGTTGACCTCTACTATCTTAGGACAATTTTGTTGGGAACTTCTAGCTGTTTCAGATAGAATATCTAGAGGCTCATCATCATTAAAATTGGTTGGTTCTGCACCACGAAAGCCAGAAGAAAACTGATGGTGCCACCTGTTTGCAGACTCTGCAGGAGGAAGGCGGTGCACGACAGCTACACGGCCTTCTTCCTGGGGCCAATTGACTGGGTTTACTCTGGCTCTCCCATGAGGATGCTCAGAAGATAGGGAGCCTTGGAAGGGGATCTCTTTCCAAGTGGCTTTGCAAAGTGGGCAGACGTAGTTCCCATGCTTCACATTTGAGGTGATGCAATGAAAATGGAACTTGTGGGAGCACTCAGCAGTGAAGAGTGCATGACCATCTCCCACTTTCATGGATCCAAGACAAATAGCACATGTTTTCTGAAAAAAGAAAGCATTGAATATTAGGGAACTCAAGTGTAAACAAACTACAACAGTGAGTAGATTAACGGCAAGGTTAATTAAAATCTGAATATAAAACAACATTAAATAACTAAAATTGAATATATATTAAGCTAAAAATGAAAACAAAGAGAGCTCAGATGTCATGCCATAAGCAGACATGTACTTTTCTTAATTACTTATCAAAAGCTTTAGTTGGAATCGCAGTCATTGATGGGCAACCTTTCACCCTAAAAGAGCATTAGCAGTACTATAGAATTTAGTACTGACTATACATATTAAGTACAAATCACTAAAAAAATGTTATAGACAAATGAAACATGCAAGACTTTTGGACAGCAAGGAAGGTCTTGAAACCAATTACTGTAATGGAGGATGACATGAAGAAGTAAGAAATATTGTTGAAGTCTCAGCTTGCAGATTTGCAAGATTTCAACTTCTGTTTCCCATAGTTTGCTATATCTGATTCAAGGCTGCATCAGAGTAGAAGTGCATAGATTGGTAGCAGAATGCACAAGAAATCAACCAAAAACCTCAATAATGAAAAAGCAACATGGCGATGGCATTGTTAATGTCAGTAGTGTGTGAACAAGAAACACAAACCATATTAGACTTCCAAATTATTGTCTCAACATCATCTAACAATAGTGTTAAACATTCAATAGTATTCTTTACGTTTCTGATAAACCAAGGCACAGAAGCATCAAGTCAACAGGTGAATGCAATTTTGCCCCCAAACCTCAGCATTTGAGGCAAAGCTGTTCAAGAAAAGATAAAGCCTGATACAAGTTCCAAAGCATATGGCTTACCCAACCGTTCCAAAGGTTATTTGTCCAGCTGAAGCAAGCAAATCTTATTTTCGCCTAAAAAAGAAGCAAATTTACGAGTATTTCTGATGCAATTTGGTCTCCTAGAACAGACAAGCAGGCACTATGCTCTATTCAACGAACAGGACAATGAGCTAATTAAGGAAACTTTTTGACCGGTCCACCAAAATCGATACAAAATCATTGTTATTTTCTAATGAAATCGCTTCGAAGTTTGTCCACGGAACTGTTATCCCAAATGGTCAACAGAGACAACTTTCAAAGAGTAATCCAAAACAAAGCAAGTCTTCACATGAAACAGTCGACCGGCCTTAGCATGTTAGAAGCCATTAATGCAACGAAATAAAGGTATCAACAGGTTTTGCGCTGTCTCTCCTTTTCTTTTTTTAGCAACAAAAGCAACAATAAAAGAGGCTTACAAAGCAAAAAGGGAGGAACTAGAGACATTATCACCAGTTTGCAAGTACATTGCAAAAGAGGGGGAAAAAGCAAAAGAAATAGAGCAATTTTCGGGAAGAGTGCAAGCACAAACACCCAATCCATCACCATTTGTATGCGTAAATCTCCAAATGAATCCACCAAAAACAAAAAGCGAGAGAGAGAGAGAGAGAGAGAGAGAGAGAGAGAGAGAGAGAGACTTATCCTCTCAACCAAAAAACAAGAAAACAAGAGATGTGAACGAAAAACCCAACCTTTGACGATCTGATGCCGGATTTAGGTAGCCGGAGGCCTCCCGAAGACGGCGTGGGCGTCGACGGCATCAACGCTAGGAACTCCGATGCCCCCGAAGACCCCGCCGGGGACGACATCGCAGTCGCAGCGGCGTCGGAGGCCCTCCGTCCGTAACCCAGCCCAGCGAGCCGGCACCCGTCGTCCTCCTCCTCCTCGCCCATTGCTCTCGGGACGTGGACGCAGAGGTTGAACCCCA